CAAGGTTTAGGAACCTTTCTTTCTCTAAGGCCATATTCATCACATTTTTTAAAATACTCTCTATGTCTACTTCTACGGTTTGAATAAAAAAGCCAATTAAGAGCCATTCTAACCTTTCAATTTCTATGTTTAAAATTCGCATATCATCACCGACAATTAAATGATAAATATGACAAAATACATCTAACATGGAAAATATTAGTAAATGCAGGATTTAGTGTTGTTGTAAGCATGCCTATAGCACTGGTGTTACTAGAAGCATTATCCATTGAAATTGCCATTATTTTATCGCTAAAGCAAAAATATCTACAAATATCTGCAACAGTGTTAGCTATAAATTTACCTGTGTGACGCGAATTAATTATTCTATATGCAATTATGCGTTTTTGCATTATCCATTCTTCATCTATCCAATGACTTGTAACAGTTAGGTAATCACAATCATTACCACTTCTACCAATATCAGTAGTAATAGAAATCCGATTAGGTATATGAGTAAATAAATAACGCAAATATTGTTCATATTCATGTTTGAATTTATAAATATCACTCTTAACTGTTGCGCGAGGCCAACCTTTATAAGTAGGATTAAACACTCTTCTAATATAATGAACCCAATTAGGATTAGAAGCAAAAGTATAAGGTAAGCACATAACAGTAATCATCTTTGCTAATTCTTCACGATCTCTATTTGGATCGTAATATAAAATACCTCCAGTGACAGTGTTAATTCCTGGTTGAACTAGATTTGAACCTGTACTAGGGTTAATCGCAGAATCTACACTTGTCCCCTCTAGATGCGCTTTCATTTGAAAAAATCTAGCCTTATCTCTAGGGTGTGTTTTTATGTGCCTAGTCAAACTACCTGTGCCGCTACGGTCTCCTACATATTTATGCGACATTAATTTCCCACAAGTTTTACACTTAGCCTTATTTTTTTCTCTTACTTGAGTAAAAAAATTCCAAACTAATGATGTTTCTAAGCGTTTAGCAGGTTCTCTATTAAAAGTAGGAGTTTCTACAGGTGGGTCGACCGGTGCATCACTTGGGTTATTAAGAGGACTAGNCTCCATTTGAAAGCGAGATACAAACTCTCGCAACATCTTCTTTTCTTTCTATTTGATTTTCAAGACGTCGGACTTCCTTGTAGCAACCTTGATGGCACCGGCATGTGCCTTTATAAAAGAATCCGCCAGCATAGCGAATGAGTTTATCGAATTTGGGGATAGGTTGTGATACCACATCATGGCCCCTTTTGAAAGTCCTCGAATTTCTTCAATAGGACGGATTCAATCTCATCGTCCCTAAGGTCGTTTCCCTTCATTGCACAAGTGTAAGTAGTGACGTGCTCATTGGGATCCGAGGTCCCGTTGTACTTCGGGTGATCAGGCATTCAGAATTTCTTTGGGATGGTCTTCGGAGTCGCACTTGACGGGAATAACTTTTGCATGAATTTCTTTGAATTAACACCCTTTAGGATTGGGGGTGCACCCGGGATATAATCAACTCTTGAGTTGTAGGTCTCCACCTTTTTGTCATTGGCTTTTATCTTCTTTTCGCCCGATTCGATCCTCTTTGTGAGGTCCTCGAGCATTTTTATGATGGCGGGGTCGCTTGCTGATCCGTTGTTGCTCGATCTTTTCAGTACCTGTTCGGCTCGGGAAGTCGTTTCCGATGCTGCAATGCTTGGGGTTGTTTGGTAGCTATGCAGTTGAGCAATTGCTAGTTGTTGTACCTGCAACATCTCAAAAATAACGTGAAGGCTAACCTTTTATTCCTCCCGAGCTGGGGTTTTCTGAGCTTCTTGTTGGTCTCATTGGTGTATGTTGTTATTAGTGTGAGAGCTTATATCGACGTGTTGGGCATCGCGTGCCTGGAACAGCTACACCATTCTCTCCATGGTCTCCAAGACCGTTGTTTTCATATGCATTCACTGAGTTAGACATTGTGACCTGAAATCAAAGATTTTTGGCCAATGAGTAATAAATGAAGAACAATTAATGAAATGCAATGAATGTAAGCAATAAATGTAAGTAATAAAATCAAAGGAGAATATGTTTAAGTTATAGAGTAGAGAATGTTCTTGTTCTTGTATTGAATGTTGTGTGTCCCTTTACAAAATGACAAGGATCCCCTTTATATATGAGGGGGAATCCCAACATAGTACAAATACATTTATTACAAAGATATATGGCTGATACAGCCATTTAATGCCACGGTACGGGCTTATGCAAGGCTAATAAATTGGGTCAGCCTTAATCACGTGCCTTGGGAACTTCCCGTTTTTCCATCATAACTATCGATTTGCATTGCCCCGAGGTCGAACGCTGAGAACCCTTCGAGGTTGAACCTCGACCCTCTCCTCGAGCCTTTGGAGGTGTGTTTGTGAAGCGCCATAATGACCATAAAATCAGACCCTCTGATTTTTACCGTATATAATGATACAGTAAGAAGTGACCAAAATATGAGTTTACACACTTGCGAACTAAGATGAGATAATCAAATTACAACGATTACATAAGACGTTTTTACCTCTCCTAAGGGTCTCGCCCAAAGCTTAAGTGTGAGCACTATTCTCGTGCAACTTTCAATTTGATTCTCCTTGAATTTGGCTAAAACATTTTTTTTAATATAAAACGTTTAACTTTAACGATTTGAGATATATGCACAGTTTTTTTTTCTCCCTTTAATGATCGAGTCCGAAACCACGAATTAGCAACGCAATAAGTTGCTGCTCTTAACAAATCCAAGTAAGTTTAATAAAGCTTGGGAGCACTAAGTGTTGGTATTAGTACAGCCCGAAAGAGCCCCAATTGGACGAAGCTCTTAAATAATTGGGAAAAGAAAAAGGGAAATTTCAAATTAAAGGAGAAAACAGAGCAAAACCAAAGGTTAGAGTGTTCTTAGATATTTGTCAATGTTGTAATAAAATATAGCAATGAATCTTCTGTCCATTATCCGAGAATCTTGTTTTAGTCAGAAATTCTTTTTATAAATAGAATGGTCCTGTAGTGGGTAGTAAAATAAAATAACCAAATAAAAAGATAATCATACAAGAAATATACATCACACAAATAATATCCAGTTAATATTTTATTAGGGCAAATCAACTATGTATTACAGTACAGTACAAGAAGCTTTCCTTCACTCACTACAATATTAGTGGAGCAACACAAAAAGAGGTGTCAAAAAAACCAACCCATTTTGATGCTCCGGGACAACCTTAAAGAACAAAGGCAATTAAGCATTTGTTCATCACTATTGACACCAATCAATAAGAAAGTTAATTAAATGGCACACCATGGAAATTAATTAGTACAAACATCACACTCTCAATGTTTGTTCAATATAATAGCACACGTTATATTAGGATAAAATATATTACTTTCTTTTGTTCTTCTCATAGGCGAATTAAGAATCAATAGTCAGTTCGTTCAAGAATCCCAAAGGCAATCATCAATTTCTTCATAATCACTCATTTCATAATCGTTGCAAGTAAACATTGTCTCTTCTCCAACATATTCTCTAGTCACATCACTCCACATTTTTGGTGAATCCATTGGGAAGTCATTAATAGCTTGAATTTGACTTGGAGATAGTCCTATAGTTACTGGTGCTAGATTATTAGTTGCACTTGAACTTGCCATCTCCTCAGAATTTCTCTTGACTGTTAATGCAGCTTCTTGAGCTGCAAAACGTATATCGTCAGGGCTACAACTTGCTGGTTTAGGGAGAAAATCGACCAACTCTGGAAAATTTAGCTTTGCTGCATGGCCTTTGAGGTGCAATGCAGCTGAATCATACGCAGCGGCCGCCATCTCTGGTGTGTCAAAACTCCCTAGCCATATTCTTGTTTTCTTCCCTGGCTCACGAATTTCGGACACCCATTTCCCCCATTTCCTTTTTCTAACACCTCTATAAGGTGATGTAACGCCACCCCTTCTACTAGGCTTGCTAGTATTGTTGTTGCCTTCCATCTAGCTAAATTAAATGTGTGTTAATAATGCTAATAGGTTTAGCTTGTTTTTAGTGTGATCAAGTTAAGTGTATATATAGGCATGTATTGGAGTTATTACAAGTCAGAACAAGCATCATTTCTAATGTATTAGAGAACTATAAGTTGGAGGGAGCTTCCATGCAGTTTCAGAGGGTTTGAAAAGAAGTATTTGAATGTAGGACAAAGTAGATAAATATTAATTAGTTTTTGGATAGGGTGATTTTCTATATTTTTATCATGAAGTGTAATGCATCAAGCTAGCAGCAACCACTGGAGATTCAGCACGTTTGGACGTTCAGTGGTATAAATTAATGTATTCAACTGTCGGTTTCTAAAGTGTGAATTTTTTTGAGTCGCAGGTCTAAGAGATATTGTCGCAAACTTAGCAACAGAAGAGGACAATAGATGATGTTCTTGTTAGGTGATATTTCCTGTTATACCACGCGGTTTGTACTGAGGTGGCAAGTTTTCAGTCTAAAGTTTAAGAAATGTTAATTAAAATTATAAGGCGCATCCCCCTTAAACAACAGATTTAAAGTTACAATGATCAGAACCCTCAAAACTTTTTTTTTTTTCTTTCTCTTTGCTTTTATTTGGGGGAGTGCTCTCATACTTTAGAAAGAATATCCGATCCTCCCCTTGAAGGATGAAAGGATCGGAGCCCACCAGACACCAAACACCAGGGGCAGATATAACCTTTCCGTCAGAGGTGGAGTCAGGATTTAATGTTTGTGTATGCGAGATTCTAGTTCGTTTATATTAGTCGGTTTTAAATTAACAATTTATATATATTCACCAGGCCACGAAAGACCAGGGGCAGATATAGCCTTTCAGACAGAGGCGAGATCAAGATTTGAAGTTTGTATGTTCGAGATTCTAGTACATTTATATTAGTGGGTTCTAAATTAAGAATAAACATATTCAATGAAATTTTTTAAGACAAATATAGGGTTTAAACCAAAGTTACTAGATTCGACCGAATCTACAAGTCATATGATAGCTCCGCCAGTGGCGGACCCAGAATTTTGTGCAAGTGGGTTCAATCTTAGAAGTATATAACTTTAGTCGTAAAATAGTAGTTGTCAAGTGGTTTCAAATAAATATTTATACAGAGTTTACACAGCTTTAATCCTAATTTATACATATACACAGTATTATTTTTTGGTGAAGCGGGTTCAGTTGAACCTGCTAGCCACCACTTGGGTCCGCCACTGAGCTCCGCCACGGCTTTCAGCTATAGCCTTTCAGACAGAGGCGGAACCAGGATTTGAAGTTTGTGTGTTCGAGATTCTAGTTCATTTATATTAATGGGTTCTAAATTAAGAATTTATACATATTCAATGAAATTTTTTAAGACAATATAGGATTTAGACCAAAGTTACTGAGTTCGGCAGAATTTACAAGTCATATGATAGCTCCGCCCCTGCTTTCAGCTACGAGCTGAACCTATAATTTTTGACATAGAGTATGAATATATACGTAAAATAACTACTAAAATCTTGACAAATATTAAATTTTAACAGCACAGTAAATTTAATACTAGAATTTTAAAAATTGAATTCATTAATTTAAATTTTGAATCTGTCTCGGCCAAAGACTACACCTGAATGTTAAAAAAACCTTTGATGTTTCTTTATTTGTCAACAAGCGAACTTTAAGACTACTCTTTTCAAGTGTTGACTATTGAATAATGGGCTTAAACATCTTTGGAATTTGGTCGCTTCAACCTTTTAAAAAATTCTTTTCGTATTTTTGAACATCTTTTATCTTAATTTACGTAGTTTCCTTTTCCTTATTTTTCGAGGAACACTGTCTCTGTTTAGAGAAAAGCCTGGTAAGAATTATATTGGAAATCCTGTGACAGAATATTGAGTTATTATGAGCTCATTTAGCTTAGTTGCTTAAAAGTATATCTGATAAATATTTTCAGCAATTTTAAATATTAAAGTTGACTTGATAAATAATCAATAACTCCTACGGGCTTGGATAGAAGTGATGAGTTAGTAATAACCAGTTGATATTTTTGGTAATAAAAAAGAGCTAATAATCACCTTTTTATTAGAATGATTTATGTGCCCTTTTAGATATATATATATATATATATATATATATATATATATATATATATATATATATATATATTACAAAAAATACAAATTTAAAAGTATTTTTACATTAAAAAAAGGTGACCAATTTAGAAATGGAACAGAGAGATAGTTAAGAGTTTTGAGAAGGATAATCCAGATATTACAAAAAGAAAGTTAAGAATAAACTAAAAAGATTCTTGTGAAACCAAAACTTATAAGCTCATGAGTGTCCAACTTATATATGGCTTTTGTTTATTTCTCCTTAACTAGAATTAGAGCTAGAATCTAATAGGATTTGAAGTCACATTATTATTTATGACGTATTTTTAATGAAGATATTTTCTACTTAATCGTCCAATGAGTTTAAATATATTCATCTTACAATTATAGAAGGCAATAGAACTGTTTCATCAAAGATCCAAATTTCAACCATCTTCAATATACATTTCTAGTTTTCTACCTTTACTATTTTAAAATCTGTTTTTACCTCGGAAACGTGTAAGACATCCCAACACTGTTCGATGATACATAACACACTATCAATTAAGAATAATTTGGTGAATTTAAGCGAGGTGTGTGCATGTTATCTCGAGCTTTTTTACCATTATAAAGGAAATTTTTCACCCAGTAACTTATATAAAAAGGGGTGAAATTCAAAAATAGTCAGATTTACAAGTGGTGATTGAAAAATAGCCACAGTTTTAAAAGTTATCGAAATTTAGCTACTTTTTATGTAAAGATAAATTTGAACGAAAACATTGTTCAAAATCTCGAAAATATTCCAGCATAATATACTGGAGTTCCAGCATAATATATTGGAGTTCCAGCATAGTATACTGGAGTTCCTGCATAGTATACTGGACTTCCAACATAATATACTAGAGTTCCAGTATAATATACTGGAAGTTCATACACACAGGTGCTCCTATCTCCAGTATATTATTGTATACGGTCAAAATCATATGCCTCCGACTTATAGGCTCGAGGGTCCGTCCTAAGCCCGAGTCCGGGCAAGGTTGAGTTCGAGCCCGATGGACCAGACTTGAGCTCGAAGACAGAATGCAATGCCCGGAGACAGGAGTACGAGGAATATCGAAGCCGAGTATATGCTCGACCCCGAAATTGTACCGTTATAGATTTGTAACAGAATGAGCTAGATTTTTGCCACGTCTCCAAGATCGTGGCGCAAATCCCGGAATATGATTGTATGATTTCGTACTAGGTGGTTAGACAGCTTTATCAAGAATATTCCTTATTGTAAATATAAATATACCTTATTTAGGGTTCTCCTATTATATAAAGGGGACCCCAATCATTTGTAATATGATCTAATCATTGAAGAAAGAATATACTCTCTACTTTTTGCCTACTATTCATCAGAATCATCCTTTAGCTCTACTGTTCTTACGTTACTTTCCTTACTTAATTGTTCTTATTATTCTAAGCCCACCTCGAGGTCACTAAGCTCGAGGTCACTGCTGCTGAGTAATATTGGTTTGATTCACTTGTCTCTTTCATTTCTACTTCATATTTCTTGATTATTAATTGGTATTGAACTAACACACATATCTTTAAAACCATAAATCAAATTTAATTGTTACTCGTATTTTCGAGGTAAACGGTTTAGCGCCCACCGTGGGACTAAAGATAATAGTGATTATTTCTTTATTGATTCTCATTACACACGTTATTTTTACATTTTTTTTTGCTAAGATTTTTTTATTCTCAGGCTGAAACATGTCAAGTTTACAAAACAAACATGTTCATGACAACAAAGGTCTTGGAGAAAATAGCAATGCAGGGGGCGGTGTATCACCGATAAATCCGGGGGAAGTGCCAAGTATGGAACCAGTTGATATTAGTTCATGCATTGCTCTAAACGCGGATTTAGGCACAGACCCGGGGAGAATGTACGCAGGGAAGCCCAATTTGGTGGCCAAGAAGCACAAGGAGATGGGGGAATCAGCCTCCAAATGATATTCGAGATGCTGCAAGCTCAGCATATAACCATCGCTCAACTCTAATGCCAAAATAAGACTCCGAGCGTAGCTGAACATGAAAACACTCAACATGCTGAACCAGCGGCGGAGAGGTCGAATGGAAATGACTCGGGGACTGACCCCACCATTATGAGGATGCTCAAAAGGCTCACCTAGAGGATCGAGTCCGGATAAAAGAAGATTGAAGACAATGATAAAAAGGTGGAAACTTACAACTCCCGTGTTAATGACAAAAAGGTGGAAACTTACAACTCCCGTGTTAACCAAATACCGGGGGCACCTCCAGTTTTGAAAAGTTTAGACGCCAAAAGGTTCATACAAAAACCATTCCCTCAGAGCACGGCTCTGATGCCCATTCCTAAAAAGTTTCGCATGCCCGATATACCCAAATATAACGGAACAACCAACCCCAACAAGCATATTATTTCATACACTTGCGGGATCAAAGGAAATAATTTGAACGACGATGAGATCGAATTATTCTTGTTGAAAAAATTTGGAGAAACACTATCGAAAGGAGATATGATTTGGTACCACAACTTGCCTCCTAACTCTATTGATCTGTTTGCTATGTTAGCAGACGCCTTCATAAAAGTACACGTCGGGGCCATAAAAGTGGCCATGCGAAAATCGGACGTCTTCAAAATAAAACAAAGGAACGACGAGATGTTAAGGGAGTTCCTATCTAGGTTTCAGATGGAAAGAATGGAATTACCGCCAGTCTCCGATGACTGGGCAGTACAGGCCTTCATGCAGGGCTTGAACGAGCGGAGTTCGATTACATCTCGACAGTTAAAGCAGAATTTGATCGAATATCCAGTTGTGACATGGTCAGATGTGCACAATCGTTACTTGTCAAAAATCAGGGTCCAGGACGATCAGTTGGGAGCCCCATCGGGTTCAGTTCATCCTAACAG